TTGCCCAGGGCTTGCTCTGTCTACCAACTAACTCCAAGGTCATGATTCTTCCCAGAGCTCTATGTGCTATTTATTATGTGATTGGTGACCAGATATATACCCCCAAACGAAGAGGGCCCTAAAGTAAGCTTCCAGTCAATGTTGTTGCTGGCCCGTGTGAGATTGCCAGGAAACCCCAAGAGGGTATCAGCTCTTCAGCTATGAGGAGTTCGCAGCTTCACACCCCAGCGGGAGGATTGCCACCTACCTCCCAAATCCAACTCTTTCTGTTCCTTGGAGTCACATTTTGCTGAAAGGTTTCAGGAATCTCTAAGATGCAGACACATCTGTAATTACCTTGTAGGAACTACATAAACAGCACCGTCACACAGAGCCACAGCGCAGGCTGCGAATTAGAAGAGAGGCGTTTGCGTGTTCAGAAAGGGTTTATAGTCCGTTGAACTCAGAAGTGTTTGGGGTGAAAAGAGACTTGGCGAAAATTTACCAGAAGCAAAATAATAGTCTGAGACTTACGGAATGGCTTCAGTTTGCTTGCAGACCAAGATATAAATCTGTAGGGGTGGGGGTTTTGGTACCTGGATCAAAACTTCAGCCCTTGGGCTTGCCCAGCAGGCACTTAGCCTCTGAGCTATATTCCCAGCCCCGGCCAAGATATAAAAGGCAAGTGCTAAGTGTTGCCAAACGCCTGCTCCACACATCCCATCCCCTTGTAGGAACTAGGTCAAAATTATTTTCTTCTCAAAAAGACCATTTTTGAAGTAAAAGTTATAAAAGAGAACAGGAGCTGAATGGGAAAAATGCCTTGCAGTCCAAACTCAATATCTCTAGTGATTAAATCAAAAGTTTATCTACTGCTACCAGGTCTGTTTCCAGGGCCAGGTGCCCCATCTTTCCTGCTGTTGGTCTGGTTTGTCCATGCCATTTTTTTTTCACTTCCTCAATTTTATTTATTTTCAATTACATCCAAAGTGGTGACTTAGACATTGGACTAACTAATATTTTATTATTTTTTGTTGTTTTTTTGTATTTAGTATAGGGTCTATAGGGTCTACAGGGTCTCACTACACAGATCGGACTCGTAGTGATCCTCCTGTTTTCAGCCTCCCAAGCGCTGGGATTACGGGCGAGCACCACCAGGCCTAGAATTAGTCGCGGTCTCAGCGCTCCCCGGGGGTGGGGCTAGCACAGCACGCTGAGAATTGAACCCGGCTCTCTGAGTGTGCTGTGGTTCTGACTTCAAGGAAGAACATTATAAAAGGAGAGCAGGAGGAAAAGGACTTCCGCTGATTTTCCTTGGGGTCTGGCTGCTATCTTTGGAGGAGCTCTGGTCCTAGCTTTCCCTTTGGGTGCCACTTCCTGGCTTTGGGTGCAGGTTCTTCAGCTTCTAGCACCAGCCACCAGGCAGCCCCCATAGACTCTTGAGCTTCTGTGCCGACCTCCTGCCTCCCGGCACAGAGCCCTCCTCTCTGTCTTGGGTCCTTGGCCTCGGAATGCTCCCTCCTGTGGGATGTTGCCGGGGGCTCCAGGGCCTTGGCTGGATCCTCCAGTCTGAGGTGTGAGGACAGACCTTACACACTCCTCTACCTTTGACTCCCCGGGCAGCCACTGCAGGCCAATCCTGTGAATTTCTGTGTCCTACATTAAATCTGATTCAGAGTGCGGTCAGTCTTTCCAGGAGACTTTCGCAGGCCTGAGGGCCCTTGTAAGCGCTAACACTCTCTTCACCTCTTCCGTCCCGCGGGCTGACTCTGAGGACTGGAAATCGATGGCCAACAACTGTTTATCGTAGTGAACACAGGTCAAGAATCCCTCAGGGAGTTCCTAATGCTGATGACCAGGAAATATAAAAGATAGTGTACAGCCAAACTAACATTAGAAAAAGTAATTTTCCTCAGAACTGTTATTCCAGATTTTAATGGTTTTATCCAAAAGAGAAAGTCATTTCCATAGTTCGAGAGTACGCCCCAACTGACTGAAAATCTGGCCCTAGGGCTTCTGCCTTCTCAGTTTTTGTCTTTTCTTCACATTTGTAGTTCTTGTGGGATTATTAGGGTGTTTGCAGGAGTTATCATATGACTCTTATTTTCCAAGGTGGTTGACTCATTTTTTTCTGGCTAACGAGAAGGTGAAATTAACATGGTGTTTATGTGACAGTTAAAATTATACATTCACTATGAAGATGATATTTCTAAAACCTAAGCTAGACTTACTTTATGTAGCCTAGAACTGAATGATTCACTTCTTCATTCACTTACAAGTTTTCACTCCCTTTCCTGATGGGTGGGTCTGTAGCAAGCTCTTTGTTCAAATTCTTTCCCCTTCTTCACCATTTTAATGCAGGGTTTTTTTTTTTAATGGAGCTATAAAAATGATTTTGCTTATCCCATTGGTAAATATTTAGACAATGGCAGCTATTGTTATTAAGAACAGAGTGATCCTCAGTGATTTCCACAGCAAACGGCATGTTGTTCTTACTAAGTTATGGGAGATTTTTCAGGAAATGAAAAATAGAAGTGGCTTGCGATAAATCCGTGAACACGCCAGAGTATCTTCCAGTACACAGGCTAACTTAATAAAAATAAAGCCCTCTAACTGAGGGGATTAAAAAATTTCATAATATACCCAAGCTTGTGTATTCATCTTATGGCTGGTATATACAATAACTTTTTTTGGCAGAACTGGGGATTGAACTCAGACCCTTGCGCTTGCCAGGGAAGCGCTTATTCCACTAAGCCATCTCCCCGGCTCCAATATATACAATAACTTTTGACTGGATTGATTTTTAAATGGTCTGCTAATATGTTTGATAAAAAAACTTAATAATATACTAGAATTTATGAGTAAGATAGTTTATAACAAGAAGTTGAAATTAACATGGTGCTTATATGACAGTTAAGATTATAGTTTATGAGGGCTGGGGAGATGGCTCAATGAAATAAGCACTTCCCTGGCAAGCGCAAGGGTGTGAGTTCAATCCCCGGTTCCACCAAAAAAAAA